CATACTCTCTGTGTGATCACAGCTAACATCTGGTTGAGTTTTTACCCAACAGTCTTCAAAGCACTTAGCTAGAGTAGTGGTTCTCAAAGTGTGGTCCCTGGACCAGCAGCATCAGCATCACCTGGATGCAGGCCGTCCTCAGGCCCCCATGTCAAACCTCCTGGATCAGAAACTCGGGGGAAGTGTTCCACCACCCCCCCGCCCCCATCCCTCGCTCCGTCTGAACAAGCCCTCCAGGGATCATGGTGCACACTTGAGTTTGAGAGCCACTTGCTCGTCATCCTCAACAACCCCTTGAGGATGCGTAGTGTTAAATGTCCCTGTTGTGTAGGTTGAGAGAGTTCAAGCACAAAGATGTTGAACGACTTCTCCATATGCTGTTCAGGCATTCAGTAACCAGTGTCCATTCACTAGGGGCACTTCTTGCACTCTTCGGATGCTCACAGTGACCCAGTGCGGTGCCCGTTTTTATCTCCATTTTATAGACAAGCCAGGGAGGCCCAGGGACATGAAGCGATGCTCCGCGGTCACATAGCAGCAGCTTAGCTTTGACATTGCAGCTCAAACCGGATCTCTTCACTCTGGTTGGGTTCTCCCCACAAAGCCACCCCCACCTCTGTCCCTGGCTGTGTGCTTCTCCCCAGCTGCCTGTCCCCTGGGAGGCCTGCCTCCCCTCCCCTCGTCCCCAACACTTAGGTCTGCCGCTGTCCTCGGAACGCGGGCTGAGCCTGACTTTTCACAGCACAGATGCTGGTGCTGCAATGGGTTTCCCCTCTCTCCTCACCGGTAGTGTCCCCAACAGGATGTGCTCGCACTCAGTTGTGCCCCAGACAGAGTGCCTCGCAGGGAGTACCGGGCCCTCTGGGTCCTGCTGCTCCTGGTGTGGCTAGGGGCAGCACAGCTGGGCACAGTACTGATTACTTCTGCCAGGCTCACACCTTGCCTGCCATCCCCCAGAGAATGTTCTTTTCCTGCTTCTGTTGAAGGCTGACAAGCAGAGAGCTACAAATCCCAGCTGGCCCTGAATGTCAGGAGTGACGGTTGCCCTGGTCGAGTCACTGGAATGCCCTCTCCTCCCTGCCGATCTCTGGCATACTCTTGGTCCAGGTGGCGCAGGCTACTCTGGCTTGCAAGGACACTGAGCTCGCTGTCAGCAGAGCCTTCCCGGTCTCTGATGGGATTGTCCGGGTAGCGACTGCTACTCCCTCTTCACTTGGCCCTGGGGGACTGATTCACCTTTCTGTCCTCTGAGCACAACACAGGGCCTGGCATATTAGGGACTCCAGAAATGCCTGTGTCAGGCCTGGATCCTTCTTCCAAGTCCTAGAAGTAAACGTCACTCGCTTGGCCCTAGTTCGACTACGTCATGTCTTCAGATGCAGCTCGTGGCTGTGTGCTGAGCACCAGGGTCAGGACTGGAGGGAGTGAGCAGGATGCTCTGTGGGCTTCCTTAGAAAGAAGCTGTGGTCCATGTGTCTGAGAACTTTGTCGAGCTGCTTAAAATTTATAAACACAACTTACACATTCTTCAGTGCACTCTGTTGGTACTCTCCTGCCTCGTTTCACCTTCGGGATCAGCAGTTTATCTCTGAATGCCTCAGAGCCACCTGTGCTTCCCTTCCAGCCACCAGGACCGATGCAAGGCTAAGGAAGGGTCACTGGAACTGGTCAGGCCCCAGAAGGAAACCGATGGCACACACAGATAAGCTGGGAAGGGTTTGAGGCAGGGCCACACTCATGGGAGCCAGTGAGGGTGGTGGAGCTCCCTAGAGAGAGTCACTACAACCCCTGGGCCCGTAGGGCACGAGGCAGGTGGCCTTCAGGAACCCGAGAGAGCCGGATCTCTGGTAGAGGGTTTCTGAAAGGTGCAGGGGATCTGACCTCTCTTTCCACCTGCCATCAGGCCTCCCAGTGACCAAACTCAACCAGAAACCCGAGGCAGTGGGAGCCCAGTTATTCAGTCTGTAAAGTCAGGCGCTCAGGCACGGAGCAAATTAGGGGCACCTATTTGGGGCATGGAGCGAATTGGAAGAGTGAGTTTGGAGGAGCAGATAACATCATCACCCCCAACCCCCATCCACGCTTTGTGACCAGTAAAGGCAAGTATGACATCCATATAAAATATAAGGAGGAATTCTTGTGAGTGGACAGTGGTCACTGAATCTGATATTCAGACCCATCACTCTGATGAGAGGAATGTCCCAGTAGTTGTGGCCGTTGGTTGGTCCTCTTTAAGTCACTACATTGAGACACTTGAAACCTGGACTTCGTAGCTTCCAAACCAAGTTATTGTGGTGAGACCATATTTGTGACTCTGCTCTTTCAAGGAGCATTCATCCCTTTCCCCTGTTCACTCCGAACCCCAGCCCCTGACCCATTCTTGGCATTCACTCCTGTCCCCACAAAGAGTTGGGACCATCCAGAACTCCTCCAAGAGCATGTTCACGGCACTCCTGATTTTCTGCATTCCCGGGGAACAGGGCCTGGGCTCCACGGCTCCAGATGATGAATTTATTCATGGTGGCAGGTATATTGGACGAAACTAAAGAGATTGGAAAATTATGTTAAATGTTTGCGAATGTGCGCACTTGTGCTTACATTTAATGGGTCCGTTTTAAAAAGCCCCTGAACCCTGAAGCCAAGACAAAGTTTGATATCTGGGAGGCCACGTGTTTAAATATTTGTGATTCCAAAGAGCCTGATTCAGCTTTTATCCATTCTTGTCCCCTTCCTGGCTATGTCTCCCACGGACAGGCGTTTTCCTATTCATTTCCTTCATGACTTAAAAGGTGACAGTTGCATTCCGCTTTACAGTCTTTCATGGTGAGTCTTTGGGAGATAATATCCAGAGATAAGCGATGGTGTCTTCGTTTTACAGGTGGAGAAATTAAGATATGCGTAATATGGTCTAATTTTTTTTTAATTTTTAATTTATTTATTTGAGAGAGAATGAGAGAGAGGGCATGAGATGGGGGAGGGTCAGAGGGAGAAGCAGACTCCCCGCCGAGCAGGGACCCCGATGCGGAACTCGATCCCAGGACTCCAGGATCATGACCTGAGCCGAAGGCAGTCGCTTAACCAACTGAGCCACCCAGGCGCCCCAATATGGTCTAATTTTATGTGAGACGAGGTTGGGTTGGGAGCTCGCAGGTCTGAGTTTCCCCACACGCCCTCTTGCTTCTTTCTGAAAGCTGAATTTCCTCACAACAGCCCTGTGAGCTTTGGGGCAGGGTAATTCTCTACTGTGGGGGCTGCCCTGTGCCTCGTAAGGGGTCGAGCAGCATCTCTGGTCCTGCCCACTTGATGTCATAGCCCCGCACGTCCCCAGGAGTGACCACCAAAAATGACTCCAGACAGACTTTGTCTGATGTCCTGGGCAGGGCAGGGGGGATGACTTTTGCCTCCTATTGAGAACCACTGGCTTCCAGCAGAGGAATTTTAGATCCTGGCCATCAGAGATTGTGAGTTAATTGGTCTGAGGTGGGATCGGGGCACAGGGTGTAGTTTAAAAATCTTTCTGGTGTTTCTGGTATGTTATAAGGGTGAAGAATCTCTGTCCCAGAGTTTGAATCCCACCTGTCTAAGCCCGAGTAACTTCCCTTGATGATGTTGTGGGTGGGGTGGTGAAGCAGGCCTGGGAGCCAGAGGTCATTGTCCTGAAAGCCTGTAGGGCAGAGACCAGGATATCAGAACTGCATTTTTCTTCCCTTCCCTTTCCCCCGCTTTTTTTCACTTTTTACTTTAAAGTAATTCTAGACTCCTAGGGAGTTGCAAGAGCGGTGCATAGAGTCAACAGAACTGGGTTTTGAACTGCATGATTAGAATAACGGGGGTCCAGAAGCTGTGCCATGGGAACCAGGGCTGTGAGTAGTTTCATTAGGTATTGGGTGCTGGAGGGAACGTACTTGTTCTGCAGTCCTCCCAGGACAGAGCAAGGTGGGGTGGGTATTAGGAGGCTGGTTTCAAGTCAAGGATGGCTGCACATCAGTAAAAGATACATCGAGAGGTGTGAACCCTTCATTCTTCGAGCTGTTTTGAGAGGCTGGATGACTTTCTGTATGGACTGCACTAGACCGGGGCTTCTCAATCTTTGTCAAGTTGCTGAAGCTCAGAGGGTAGCCCAGCCTGAGGGAGCCAGCCCTGCCCGGTAGCCTTGAGCTCTCGCTTGAAGAGATAAGTGACTTTGTATCCTGTAACTCACGTACAGCACACCAGGGTGCCAAGGGACCTCCCCTTTGGGAAGCTCAGCTCTAGAGATCATCTCTGCTGTGATTGGCAGTGTGCCGAGCACCATATTCTGCTCTTGGTATTATCCCTTTATGTACTCCATGACCTCCTGCAGGACGTGCCGTGGCCCTTGTATTACTGTGAGTCACCTGATGCCACCACTTTCCCAGGGTCACCCGGAGCTAAAGGACAGAGCCAGAGGAGATGGGCCATAAGGTTTCCTTTAATTCTGCCAGTCTTCAGTTCTTGGAATGATGTCCCAGCTGGGGCCCTTTTTATAGATGTACGCTTATAGACGTTCATTGGTCTCTTGGCCCAGTCAGGCACCCCTAATCTGAGACAATGTTCTTGCAAGAGCAAGAACATTTCCCACCTCTGAGCCATTGCTTCTCAGTCTAAGATCCCTGACTATCAGTTCTTCCTTTCGGGATGTATTTCTTTCATCTCTCTTGTCACCAGTTGTCACGGTCTCCCAGCGTGGGGGTAGGAAACTCACCATTTGCCTGTTTGAGCCGATCGCCCTTTCTCTCGTCCCCAAAATGTAATTGCAAAGAACCTTAATGTTTTCCAAATGATGATAGCTCCATAAACCGTTTAAAAGGGCCTTAATAAAACCATCTCAAGTTATTTTCCACAGCTGCAAACTATGCCCTTTGTTTTCTAACGATCCCCACGAGAGATCAGGGTGATTTTTCTTTCCCACGCGGTCTGAAGCACCAAGAAGGCCCTCTTCCATCTGTCTGACTGCTTGCCCTGTGTTCTTTGCTTCCCAGACAATCCACGTTGCTATCGTCTGTGCCGGGTATAACGCGAGCCGCGACGTTGTCACCTTGGTCAAGTCCGTTCTCTTTCACAGGTAAGCGCTCCTGCGATACCCTGCGGGCTGGTGCGTGAGGCTTGGGTGCGCGGCTTGTGCATGTGACTCGTGTATGTGACTCGTGCGTGTGACCGCCAGCCTGCACGCTTCCTCGGGGGAGGGGTACAGAAGAGCAACATTTCTCATCAGTCATTGAAGCTGCCGTGAAAACGTGATTTTTGTCTGAAACCCTGGGGAGATTTTTGTGTTAATGATGTTTAATAGGAGCAATGAGGTGCAGTCCCACAATGTTTAGGATTGTAGCTCTTAGACCTAAGGGGACCCATCAGGGACACTCCAAATTTGAGGCTTCCGTTTCTTCCTTGGCCTTCCCTTGCCTGACAGTCACCAGACCCCTCTGTGTACACGCCCCTGTTGATAGGTTGTGTGATGGACTGAGCAGTGTCCCCGTAAAATTGATCTGTTGGAGCCCTCGCCCCTAGTAACTCAGAATGCGAACTATATTTGGAGATTGGCCTTTAAGAGGTAATTCAGTTAAATTGAGGCAATATGAATGGACTGTCGTCTAATATGATTGGTGTCCTGATAAGGAGGGAAGATTGGGAGACAGCCTCACACAGAACAAAAACCATCTCCAAGCCCAGGAGGGAGGCCTTAGGAGAACCCAACCCTGCAGGCACCTGATCTCAGACTTCAGCCGCCAGAACCACAGAAACTAAGTTTCTGTTGTTTAAGCACCCCCAGTGTGTGGTATTTTGTTAGGACAGCTCTAGCAAACTCATAGAGGTTGCTTACTGTATTCCAACGTAGGCTGTCCCACGTCTGGGCGTTTCTAACCATCAGAAAGTCCTGTCTTATATTAAACCAAAGTTTTCCAACCCATAAGCTGCTGTCTTTGGGTCCTAGTGGATCCCCATGGAAATGGCCCTACGAACGATGGGGTCCTTTTCCACCTGGAAGTGATCCTGCCTCTCCCGAGTCATCTCGTCCAAGTTAAACTCCTGCCACTTGCTTGTACTTTTTAACAGGGACTTTCTTCTGTTTTCACTGTTCAGCTTGATGGATATCTAGACTTACTGACGGTGTATCCAGAATTGAATGTGTAGTTCCAGCCAGTGTCCTTGGCTCTGTTCTAACATTCTTACTGAGGGTTTAGATGAAGCTTATCCATAGCTGTAGCCAAGATCCAGAAGGTTCTGAGCAGTAGGAACAGTGGTGAAAAGCTCTTAGAGCTCAACAAAACAAAGATCAATGTGAAGTTAATGCCCAAATCTGGTGGTCAGTGGCCGAAGCAGAGATGGGAGGCGTGGTGGGCACCCGAGACCGGCAGGCCGTGCAAGAAACTGACCGTTGGTTCCACTTTCTCTCTCAGACCCCCACCCAGCCCCTCTGTGATGCACTTGGGGGTTCTCCCTCTTCATAGTTTTAATTCCATCCCTTTCTCTTCATCCCTACTGCACCTGGCACAGTTGAGGTCTGCATGTTCTCTCTCCTGCACTTGACATTCCAGTCCCCACAGAGCCAGCCTCTAAGGCCAGGTGATATTTCAGAAAGGCAAATCTGATATCTTCAAACCTTTCATTGGCTTCTCGTCATGGACGGGAGAGAATCGAGCCTCTTTACCATCAGGTTAGAGACCACACAGACCATCAGGGCCTGCTGTTATTCTCAGCACGTTTTCTCTCTCTTCCCCTTGCTAGGGCTTTACTCTCCAGCAACACTGACCTGCTCATAGCTTTCACCCTCTCGCAGGTGTGCCCTGCCTGTTGTCGTCCCCATGCTGCGCTGTTTGTCCCTTTCTCACCTCCTCCCTCCTCTTTCGCCTCGCAACTTTGCAAACTCCTTATCCTTCTAACAGGAGACCCACCAGTACCGGTCAGTCTGGGCTAGGGCTCTGCCTTCTCCTAGCCCACAATACCCTGTGCATCTTTCTGTCACTGTACTTAGTACATTGTCTTTTATTTATTCACGGTGTGTCTTTTGTAGTAGAATATGGGACTTCTGGGGACAGAAACCATGCCTTATATTTCTGGATTCTCCGTATCTTAGGGAAGAACTTCACAAGTGTTAGATGCTCAGTCAATGTTTACTTGTTTAACTAGTGAATCTGGGAAACTTCATTAATAAATAACCTGAAGATTTAGTTATTCAACCAGTAAACTAATAGATCTAGCTCACACCGGGTTTGATGACATGCTCATGCCACTTTATACTGAGTGACTTTCAGCAGGTCATTTTAACCCTTTAGGCTTTAGTTCTTCGGTCACTTAACTTTTGCTGTGAATCCGTGCACCCCAGAATTTATTAGGTTGAAGGCAAAATTTATTAGCTCAGTTGTACTGAACCACCTGGTGGGTCTTTTCCTGGGTGCCCTGCTCTGCTTATAGTCAGCAAGCAGATCTGCTCCCCACCCAGGAGTGGGGGGATTCCCTGCCTCCCCCCACCCAACGCCAGAGTGGGGAAAGGGGAGAAATGAGTAACCACCAAGTAGAGAACACTGTCGGCTAGTGGTGGGGGCTCTCCGTTCCCTCCTCTTAGACTGTGCAGTTGGCATTGGGATTTCAGCTGCACGTCTCAGAAGGAAATGGTAATACCAAATAAAGAATGACCAAGCAGGGCTCAACCTCCCGTCTTTGACATAAGATGAGAAGTCCTTTGTATACCACCGTCGCCCCTGTGCCATTTTTGAGACTCCTTATGGTTCTGCAGCCTTCATCTGCTGCTTGAAACCAGGCATTTTGTCTTCTAAGCACTGAATTAGAGGAGTGGTTCTCAACCTTTTTGTGTTTATTTCTTGTCACCATGAAAGAACTCGATCCCTCCCTGGTTGGGGGGGCGCCCCCTTTTTAGAAAAGAGTATTTGCATGATTACAGATAGTCACTTGTGCTGTTTCTCAATTATGGCAAATTTTAAAGCCATAAAAACGTTCGGTGTTGTTGGGCATAAATATTGCTGTTGCTTTAGCTACAAATCAAATAATTCCAGTAGTCGCTGAAACCCTGAGGAACCCCATTGAGTGTCAACTTTTACTCCTACAGTCACTGTGTAGCACAAAGATGTTACATTTAAAAATAGCAGATTTAGGGCGCCTGGGTGGCTCAGTTGGTTAAGCGACTGCCTTCGGCTCAGGTCATGATCCTGGAGTCCCGGGATCGAGTCCCACGTCGG